CGTTATACTCTTGCTACATATCAATATCCAAAACAAAGTCACAAAAAACATATTTTCGATTTCTATGGGCATTTTCAAGCCCAATAGTTGCCCCTCTCTCAGAGCCTTCCCTTCTCTTTCCGAGCTTCATCATCCATCCGTCCAACGTCATTGAATGTTTGACCGGTTAACTGATCGGACGCTTTCAGTGAAGTAGCCACTTTACCGGGTTTTGTATCTTCGACGCTCACTTCAACCACCGTCCTCCCAGTGCCACCGTGCTCACGCGCCGCGCGTGTCTCCTCCACAATGTCCGATGGCATTGTCAGTTTGCTCTTTATAGCTTCGGTCATGTTCCCTAATGCACCAAATATAGTCCCTTTCGCTTCATTTCCCCTATACATTATCCAAAAAAAAAAAACTTAAGCCGTTACAAACCCTTTTTATAAAATCAATTATATACGTTAAAAAAAATCGACAAAGATCTACCAAAATGGCATTTCTTCTATCTACCTTTGAGCAGCAGAATCTTTGGTCTGGTTGGCTTTTCCAGAAGCCGACTCAGTACTCTCTCTAGTCTTTTGTGAGGCCTCACGTGCCTTTTCTCCAGCTTCTTCTTTGAGTTCTTTACCTTCCAATCTCATCTCTTCCATCTTTCTTCTTGTTTCTTCTCCAGCTTCCTCCATTTTTTCCTACGTTATCAAACAACCATTTACCATCAAAGATTTGGACACCGTTCGTACACCACATTTATCACCAAACATGAACATATTGTTTCAAGACATTACCTTGGCAGTGTCTTTGGTCTCCACAGCTTTCTGTTTTGTTTCTTCCGTCTTTCCCGACAAAAACCCTATAGCTCTCTTAGCCGTATCAACCGCACTATCCTTCAACTCTCCAAGCTTACTTACCCCAACGTCTTTACCTTCTGCTGCCTTCTCCACCGTGTAGTCCTTATACTCTCCTGTCTTCTCCGCCGTCTTATCCTTCGCTTCAATCGCCTTCTCCGCGGTGTAATCCTTAGCTTCCACGGCCTTGTCCACCGTATAGTCCTTGTATTCACCCATCTTCTCAGCAGTCTTATCCTTAGCCTCTTTGGCCTTATCCGCTGTATAATTCGCCGCCTCCTTGGCCTTCTCCGCCGTCTTATTCTTCGCTTCTACGGCTTTATCCACCGTGTAGTCTTTGTATTCACCCACCTTCTCCGCGGTCTTATCCTTCGCCTCTATCGCCTTATCCGCAGTATAATCCGACATCTCCTTCGCCTTCTGGGCGGTCTTGTCCCTAGCCTCCGCAGCTTTATCAACAGTACAGTCTTTATACTCGCCCATCTTCCCCGCCGTATAATCAGCGGTATCCTTTGCCTTCTCGACGGTTGCGTCTTTGGCTCCAGCCGATTTCTCTGAAGCTATCTGAGCTCCTTCTCTTGTAGACTCGGCCGCATCATGGCCTTTTCCGACTACCGCATCTCTTGCGTGCTCGTAGGTTCCTTGCACAGCTCTAAACACTGATCCTATCACTCCTGGCCTCTCCTGCTCGGGTGGATGTTCCGTTGTTCTCTCCGTCACCTTATACATCGTGACGTCACCACCACCGGTTTTGTTGATGTCATGCAAGTCTTCAGCCGCGAGTCTCGCCGCGACCTCGGCTCTTTCCGCCTTTTGTTTATCCGATGCCATTGCTTTTCTTTGATTACTTGAGAATTAAGAAAACTTAAGTTACGAATTCGTGAAAGTTAGAAAGTATTTTGCGATTTCAGAATCTTTTTTACTTGTTACTACTGGTTGAGGTTCTTTTGTTCCTTCTTATAGTAATTGCTCTGTTTCTATGAAGACGCTACGTGGTAGATACACAGACGCAGTAGCTGCCACGTATAACTATTCTTTCCTTTTTCTCTTCTTGTCTTCCAAGTAGCCTTTCGTGCGACACGTATGTTAAGTAGATCGTTTTATCTTCTTGGGATGTACCATGGCACGTGGACATATCATGCATGGATGTTGAGTGTTCATGGGCATGACTCAAGAGTTAAGACATTGATGGTCGGTTATATCAAATCTTTTGAGATCGTAATTTTGAGTTGCTCGAAGTATCTTTATTTAACTCTGCTATGTGATATGGTGAAAATGTGTCATCTTATTTCATTTTGTTAGAGTTCGATCATGTGTGTGTTGAACACATGTTCCGTGATTGCTCTATAAGAAAGAGAAAAAACTCATGCTTAAGCAAAATAAACTTTACTTTTTGCACCTCCCAAAACGTTTTCAAAAATTACAAGCAACTTCACATTATGCCTACGTTTGGTTTATCCACATTTTATTTGATCAAACTCTTTTAATTGTATCGTTATTAGAACGTCCAAATAAAAGGTCGGTCTTGGACTAAAGTCCAACAAACAAGAATTTCATGCATCAAAAAAAAAACTTGGGTTGGATTTTAAATAGGGTAAATTTGCCAAAAATACAACAAAAAATTATAATTTGAAAACTAACAAAAAAACTCTAAATCCAATGGTCTAAAAATTGCCACATACCCTATC